ATAAATTTGGATAACTTGAAGGTATAAATAATAATAACAATAATAACAATAACAACAATTACAATAAAGTGAAGTGAAGTAAAAGAACCTTACAAAAAAATAATAAAATTTGTACTTAAACATTGTTATATTTTATGAAGTTTACTTAAGAATGCACTAAGCACCTAATTGCGAAAGATAAAATAGAACTTGCAACAAGAAGATCCTAACAATTTTAATAGAATTCTAAATAAACTCCAATTAAATCATAACAATGTTAATCAATCTTCAATTAAAGTCCAAAATAATCTTAAAGAACTTATAAAAGAAACATAAAGAAATTATAAATTTATCTTAAAGAAAATTATGTAATAAAAAAATCTTAAAAGAATACCAAAAAAATCTTATAAAAATATTAAAAATAGAAATCCTAATTAAACCTTAATCAAATTTTAATATAATCTTCAAAAAATCCTAATGAAATCTTAAACCAATCCTAACCAAATTCTAATCAAATCCTAATCAAATCCTAATAAAGAGTTAAATCAATCATAATTAAGTTTTAAACAAATCTTAGACCAAATCTTCATGAAATCCTAAACCAATTGTAACCAAATCTTAAGCAAATCTTAATCAATTGCTATAGCTGTTTTGAAACCTTAATAATATTAATTGAAATATTGATTTTAATAAAAATTTAATTTGGATTTTATTTTATAAGAAATTTTCAATTATACAAAATTTGAAAAGAATCAAATTCAGCAATTGACGGAAAGAAATTCCAAAACCTCTTAGATATTAGCCATTCTCCTTCTCTATCTTGAATGTTGATCTCCCAACAAAAAACTTTCCTTGTTGAACCATTCAATTGCTCCAAAAATCATTTAGTGTATAGATACTTAAGTTTAAATTACTCTTACGATTTTTTGCTTGAATCAATTCAACATGTGTTGCAAGATTGAAAAAATCCTAACTACTCCTAAATTTCAATTACTCAAGACCATAATTCACAAAAACTTCCACAACTTTCAATTTAATCACTCAATTGATATCAAAAAATTTATACAAATTTAAAACAAGCACAATAACAAACTGAAAAATTTTCACCTATAAAAATACAACACTCACAAAATCATCAAATTTGGAAACTTCTTTTTATCACTTGAAATCTAAATCCATTGAATATACCTTTTTTTTTTGAAAAGCTCTCAAAACCTCAATATATCTTTAAATCACATGAAATAAATTCTTAAAAATCTTTTTATAAGTCTACCCTCAAATCTCTTTCTTCAATCAACCAAAGAACCCTAGAGTCTTTGTAGGTGCATAGTTTTGTGCCTCAAGATTTGATTTCAACCTTAATTCACAACTAGTCCTCTCTAGATATCAATTCTTAATATTTTGAGGTAATTTTTGCTAAAACCTATTTTTAACTTCTTTTCAAAGATGCCTATATTAATTATTTATCTCATTTATTTTGATTTGGCTCATTTATGCCCCGAAAAAGTAAGTAGAAGTTTCTTCTAAAAGAAGGTAGTATTAGTACTTATTAATTTTTATTACCTTCTTATCTATTATCTATATTTTTAAGATAATTAGCTAATATAATTTCATTTAAGCTCCCCTATAATAAATTTTTTAGGTGAAAGAAGAAAAAAAATTTATTATATATTATATATTATATATATTATTATATATTATTAATATGTAAGAATATATATTATATATATATAATATATGTAAGAATTTATTATATATTAATATATATATTATTTATACAATATATTATTCTTACAATATACAAAAAATAAAAAAACAAAAGTGAAATCAAAATATCAGATCTATTTTTTGATACAAAGATAACTAGAATTAACCTCCTTCAATTCTTTGTCAACTATGGAATTCAATTCCATGACCACTTAGTTAAAAACCACACATTCTATCAATTGAACTAAGTCAATTGTATAAATGATATATATCTATGCATTTCATAATAAAATATTTATATATAAATAAATAAATAAAATACACACATACTCTTCAACTATTGCATTTTGTTTGTAGACACAACTTTCAAGAGCTTGTCAATAAAAAGAAATATATATGAAATATATACCATCTTTATACAAAAAGATTGAAAAATAAGACATCATTTTTAGGCAAAGTCCACACGGCTGACTTTCAATGGATTTCTATTCTTTTAAGTCTGGTTGAAAATTCACCATAAAAACTCTATTGTCTAATGTAAATGACTATCTTAGCCATTTGATACATTCTCCAATCCTTTTAAAATTTTATTTACATCTGCTATAATTAAGCATGAAATATAGTAGACTAGCTTTAGTTCCAACATCAGGTTTGAGCAACTTGTTAATATAGACTATTTAGAGGAGCCTTATCTGGACTTATTAGAATATGAATAACATTCTATTATTCTTGTATTTCTTTATTGCAACATTGGATATCATCCAACTGATCCTATCCATGGTCTTTTAATTTCTTTATACTTGCATGTTTTATTTTGATCATATCATATGAAGGGTTCTTGGATTGGTGATAAGAATGCAAATGTTGTTGCTTAGAGCTTATACATGGAAATTGGAAAGTAAATCCAAAGACGTAGATAGTGATGTTGTAGCACTTAAGCTCTCCAATAGAAACCTACATGAAATCAAACATTTGAGGTTGGAACATATTAAGTTAGTATATATCACATTTTAAATTAAACTAATATAAACAAGAAATATTTAAATTTGAATATCAAAATTATATTTAATAAACTAGCACTAAGAACAACAATGACATTCACACTTATATAGAAGAGTATTAAAGTACCATTGTCTCAAAAATGTGTGTCAAAACTCTCTTTTTGTTAGAATCTTCTAAATCCAAAAGAAATCTAGACAATAGACTATATTCAAGTGGACCGCAACTAAAATATATAGAATATAAATAACATTGATAGAGCCAATCAAACAAACAATCATCAAAATTTAATAAGAAAAATTTAGACTTACATCTACTAATGTTAAAATATAAATAAATAAATAAATAAAATCTTCACACAATAACCACAAATAGTCAAAACCTTAAAAAATGAGATTCCAATTATCAATGTGAAACAAGCCTTTAAACCTACAACATGAGATGATCCAACAAACTACCAAAATCAAAAACACACAAGAAAAAGACTAATCTTATGAAATAGGAGCTTGGAAATTCTTTGTTAAGAAAAATGGAATTGGCTCAAAACAAAATATTGCCTAAGCTTAATGTATATAGAGAAGATGATGTTGATCCACTAGAATATCAAGTGCATCCTATCTTTGACCTCTAGACATGAAAAGGTTGTTTTAAGTCTTGAATTGGAACAAGCTACTTATAATGTTTGTAGAAGGATGGTAGTACATTGCACTGATTTATTGAATGGCATAAATTTAGGACTATTGGGCATTACAAACACAAAACTAAATTGACAATATGAACTATAGTTGATATTTATTTTTTAGAGAGATTTATTTGGATAAAAAGTAGTAGTAAACTCTTCTTCCAATTCACATTATTATTTGTATGAGACTAGGGATAAATAACCCTTAGACTAGTGATTGGAGAGGATATGTTATAGATGAATGTTCTTAGTAGATGTTTACAAATTGTTTTGACTTGTGTACTTAGCTTGTTAGCCCATTGAATTAAGATCTTTGTATTCTTTTGTGTCTTTAAACTTACTTTTTTTTACATAATCAACTTTGTAGTTGTATCTATATCCATGGATTTGTTATAGACTAAAGAATAATTGCATAATTTGGCGTAGTGTGAATTTTAATAAATATATATATATTAACTTGATTGAATTGAAATCCAATTTAAATTTGATGTTTTTTGAAATAAAAATTAAATCAATTTTAGATTAAGATTTTGAAGCTAAATTATTTGTAATATAATATTTTAAAAAATAAAAATATTGTAAGTAAAAATAATAAATTAAATTAAATTAAAATCCTCAAATAGGATTTTAAAACTTTTTTAATATGCATTTATTACTCTTTGTATTAAATATTCACAATTCATGTTTAAAGTAGTATATTATAGAATACTTCTAATAGAAAAAACAAAATCCTTGATTTTTTATAGTATTTTGTCGTACAAAAGAATACCACTTCAATATGACTAAAATAGCTATGTTCTTTCTTAAAATTAAAAACTTATATGCTAGCTAATTTCTACAACTATTTTTAAAGTCCTTATAAGTTGATATTAGATCTATCTAAGATAAGATCTAATCATTTTATTTTTAAGTTAAGTTAATAAATTATTGTTTAATAAAGGTTTATGTTTTTATATTAAAGTTTAGCTCATTAAAACAAGTGTAAAAGTTATGAAAGTATATGTACTATTAATCCTTCTAATAATTTATCTGCAAATAATTATTGTAATGTTTTGTAGCAAAAGAAATTAAATATATGATTTTGGTAATTTAGTATAACACCACAATTATAAAAATCACATATAATTAACAATTTGTAATGAGATTCAGTGAAATAAAAAATACCAGAATCGTTTGAGAATATGGAGTGATTATAAAACTCTATAAGAGCAACGTTTGAAATTTATTTATCACAATGCTAGAACTTCTGGTGTGCCACATTAAAAAACCACAAAAATTCTTGAATAATAAATTAACTATTTATTGAAGTAAAAAAAAAAAAAAACAAAACAAAACAAAACAAAACAAAACAAAAAAAACAAAAAAAAACAAAACAAAACAACCAAAATAAATTTCCACATCGAAAGAATTTCTTATTCATTTTGTATTATTATTTGTCGAACACTCCATTACACTTTGTCATTTTCACTTCCAAACTTCAACACACAACCCCAAAGTAATTGAACTGACTGATTTACTATATTTACCGATTGAAATAATGTTGCAAAAGATCTGATAAGAAACATTGTTGTGTCACTAGCGTATGCTGAACAGATGAAATTTAATATATTTCCACTCCAGGTATACTCCAATGTGATGTGAACTGTGGTAATGCTGTTGATGGTTCTATTCAAAATTCATCACAGAAAAACATAATGAAATGGCACAAATGTAAGAAGAAGTATTATTCTTGACATTGCAATTGTGCAACCAGTGACATAGTTAAAAGGAACTACTTGGACACTAAGAGTTGTGGTAAATAATCGTAGAATTTGTGAGAAACGCTAAAGATGTTGTCTAAAAGTAAGAAAAACTGTGATTGCTCCAATAAAGTCTCGAATAAACTCGTAGCAGATGAACAGCTCTCATAGCACTAAATAATTACGACAGTTTCTCGCCTCAGTTGTTCCATGTGCACAATTCCTAACGGAAAGTACGTATGGAGTATTGAACCATCCCCCTCAGCCATATCACAGCTATTTTCTGCTGGGTCCAGCATCCTTGGATTTGCAGAACACAGAATACATGGCATCTAGAGGCTCAGTTTACAGAATACAAATGTAAAATTATTGAAACGAGACTCACAACTCCACTGAGCAAATAAAAATAAGAATAAGTACCATCACCCTAATTTGGTACATTTTGACAACATCATTAAGACAACTTACAGATCAAACATAGTGACATGAAGGCAATACAACCAAATACGAAAGTGAGGTCAGGTTTCAAGTGGATGTAGACTCACAATTAAATCCCGGTGATGCTTAAAATCTGGTTAGTGTGGTCGGAACGGAAACACAAATGAAATGCTTTTTCCCGGCTTGAGACCTACAGATAGCATCACATCACAGATCGAATAAGTAGAAAATAGCCTATGAATTTCCGTACTGTTATTGACATACCAAAGTAGTCAGAATCAGACTGCCGCAGCAAGATCTATGTTTAGAGATATGACGAGCATGACTCATGTTTTCCAGCTATTTTCATTCGCAGATATGCTTTAAAATGAGCTACAAATTAGACTTACATTCATTAAAGCATTGAGAGGTGCAACTTTCAGTAACTTTTTTAACATCTGACTTGTCCAAAACGTAACCCGTCTCCTCCTTGACCTCCACCAAGTGCCGTGAAACAGCACTCTCGCATGCCCTCTCACATGGGGTAGCACATGACTCCTCTCTAGTTTGTCCCTGGCCTTTTGCACACGATGGTTCTCCAATGATAGTCACCTAAAACACACACGCTCATGCATGTTATTGACTACTGGTAGTAGCTTTCGCTCCTAATTGAACAAGGCAACTGTATGTCTGATTTCAGGAGGTTCAGGTGTAGGAACGATTTCAGTACTTCGTCGTAGTCAGTAGAAATCGGAAAGAGACATTGACAATCCCAAAGTGTATTGCAGTGCTGCGCAAGCACAACAGTATAGAACAAAGATGAATAATTTTCCATTGAATTAATATAAAGAGGCGATCAAAGCAGAAGGGAGTTCATTACTTTCAGACCAGCTGGTACGCCTTGCAGCTCAGGAGTTTCTTTGCTTGCGTCCAGGGCATTTACACTGCAAAAAGATGTATCACCATAGAATGCAAAACGGGCGTAATTATTTTCATGAGATGTTCTACATGTTGCATCTGTTGGTCATTTACAAGATGAAAAACCAGGGGTGAGAAAAAGTATGTACCACGTTGACGCAGTGAATCCCTTCCTCCGCCCTACGACCTTGTTATCGACTACATCTTCGATCAAGTATTTCTTCCTGTGGTCAGAGCAGCACCATCCAAGCACCCAATCCCAAACCCCTCAAAACAGCATTTATATAACTCTCAAAACACAATTCTGTAATGAGAACGAAACACAGTATTTTAAGGACCGTGAGTATTGCAAATTCAAAGAGCAAGTTCCTGTCCTCCAATTTATCCCGATAGAGTTTGCACAACCATATGCCATGTCAAGAGCTACTGATCACTAAGATTCTTGAAACACCTTGCATTCAAAGAATCTCTATACCATCCAAACTTGCAGGCCCATTAGAAAAATGGACTGCTAGAGTTAAAATTCTCCACGAAGAAATGGATCCAACAGGTCATGACGAAGTGAAATGAACAAGGTTATTAAATATTCCAGAAGATCAAAAAGCTCCAGTTCATACAGATTACGAGAGTGCAAGGGTATAGGTCACAAATCGGGAAAGAAAAGAGGGTGGACGTGGAGTCACCTACAATATGCTGCCATACAGAGTGAAAGGCTCCACTGGATCCTTCTCTACTTTAGGCTGTCCAAACCAATTAAACGCCATTGCTGGCTCTCCAACTGCTGCAGCTCCAACCATCACCATGGCTGCCAAAGTGGCCATCATCCATTTCTTCTCTCCTCTTATTACGCTAATTACGGTGTCGTCACTACTTGAACGTCCAGAGTCGGAAACTTTTATCTCAACACCTTCTCCTGCCGCTGTAGCATCTGTGCCTGATGTGACAGAGCAATTCACTTTCACAGGACTCTTCAACTTCCTCCGAAAAGTTTGCAAACCACTCCAGTGTCCACCTGTGCACATTGCCAGACCTAAAACGGACGAAGCTGAGGGGCAAGACACCAGAGAAGCAGTAGTCACTACTGCCCTATGATGAATTGGGTCGCCTTGAAATCCACATTGTAACCCAAAACAGTGCGCGAATTGAGCTGACATGATGAATACGAAAGCCCAGCGAGAATTGCACCAAGGATTTCACAATCCCTATCTCACGCAGAAGCTCCAAAGCAAAGTGACATAATCTACACGGCACTTCTTGCTCAAAACAGATACTTCAGGATTCGAAGAGCAACCAAAACGAACATCAATCAGTGTTTCGCTCTCCTCCGCATCTTCTTCCAGGCTAAAGTGGATCGCTCACACCCCAATTACAATACTCCAAAGCTTCGAACCACATTCAAAATCCTGCCCACAGTTGTATAACACACTTGGTTTGAGTCCAAAGGAGGAAAGCTGCACCCCACAAGTTGGTGCCACTACCGTAATATGCGACCAGCTCATGAGTAGAAAGTGTGAGGAAAAAAAACAGAGATGTTGAGGTGGGTGAGAAAAACACTCGTGAATCTTGGAGTGGTGGAATTTGCAAGGGCACTATGTGAGAGGATATGAGGGCGACAGGGGATGAGAGGCTGTCGAGGCAGCTCTTTCCCTGGGAGCGGTGAAGCGCACCGCTACTTTCCCTTCCTTCCCTCTCACCATGGCCTGGCCTGGATGGAGTGAGGCTCTCTCTCCCCTTCCCCTCCACCCTATCCGCTTCACTAAGTACCCATGACATAGGTATTTGTTGTGCTAGTTTTCACAAAGAAGATAGTTTTACAATCATGCATTAAATTGTAAGTATATTTTGTGAGTATGTATGTCCTATTTACAACTTTCTTGTAGTTTGACATCATCTTGGACTTGAATGAAAATACCTTGTTTTAAATGTAATTAATCAAACCTCTCCATTATTAAAACTTTTAGAGCTTTAATCTAGTCATTACTATTTTTGTTTTTGGTTTTCTTTATTATTAACATCCTTCTTCTACCATAGGTCTTGTTGGCACCTCCTCTTTTGTAGGCATCTACCCCTTGGTTGTTTGGACTTCTTAATAAAAGTGTACAAGAGGAGATCCATGACTATTTGAACTTCTTACTTAGAATGGTTTAGGTAGAAAATGGAGTGGCTTAACATTGTGATAAAACAAGCATTCTATTAAATAAAGGATTATAATTTTTATTAATTTTTAGATCAATAGAGAAATTTGATAGAATGTCATTGGTTGCATGCATATGCTTTTGAGAGTCTTCTTGCCAATATGCTAATTGTGCAAAAAAAAAAAAAAAAAAAAAAAAAATAGAAACCATGATTTATATAGCAATATTCCAAATATTCCAAATATATATATATATATATATATATATATTACAAATGCCACACTCTCAAATCATAAAACCACCAAATCTTAACCACAAAAGAATCACATAATTTTTTATATACTTTGATCAAGATTCTTAAAGCAACAAAAATGATTGATGTATTCCAAAGTATGAAGTAGAAGAAATTATGTAAAGTACACGTATTATTTTATTATTGTAACAATGTAGCATTTATCATAGTAAAAACCATAATATTTTTAGTAGCAATGAAAGTAATATTGCATGCAAGTCTTTTCTAAAAACTTACATTATATTTTGTTCTTAAAACATCATTCAAAAAACAAGTGTAAGAAGAAGTGAATAAAATTAAAAAATTGTTCTATTTGTTGTTTTAGGACTACTATTTCTACCAATAGATGAAACAACATTGTGCATAAGCCACTTACAAATATTATATTATTTTGATTTAGAAGAAACTTTTATTTGAATTTAATTGATATAAGTAAAAAAAAACAAAAAAAACAAAAAAAAAACAAAAACAAAAAAAACAAACAAACAAACAAATAAACAAACAAATAAACAAACAAATATCAAAGAAATACATTAAAAAAATTAGTCCACATATCATGATTTAAGTGTGCATCAACAATGCCACTTGAATGATAGATGCTATAGATGAAACTACTTGAACATATATTATTGTGATAAAAAAATAAATCTTAAATATTTTGTAAGTTATATGACTATTCATTGTGAATAAAAAAATTATTTATTAGAATGAGCAATGTTATTTCAAATTGAACTTACATATCTAATAATAGATTATACAAATTATTATTGGCTTCTTGAGTAGTTCTAACTTCCCCTCTGAGTAAGCTTTTCTACTATTGGTCATGTGCGTGAGTGATGGATAGATCGGCAATTTATGAAGCAATTAGATTTCTCTTTCTATTTGGAGTAGTTTTTTCTTTTGCGTTTAGGATCATTGATATTATAAAGTCTATAAAGAAATACAAATTTCATGTGCAAAAAAAAGGATCTTAAATCAATATACACTACATAAGGATAAAATTTATCATTCTATATATATATATATATATATATATATATTACTACATTAGTAAACATAAAAAATTAGAAAATAAATTAATCAGCACAAGTAGTCACTAAAGATATTTATTTAGTTTGAGAAACACCTAAGCTAACACTATTGAAATAAATACCTAAACATTGATTGAAAACTAAATGACATAGAAATGATTTTCTTAGAGGTTGTCAAGAAGAGTTTATTTTGTCTTTTAGAATTAAGTTATCAAAATTATTATTATCCAAATTTAATTGAATCGACTATTACAATAAAGTCAAAGACTTATTAGCTAAAGAGCCATGCAAATAACTTCCGGATAATCAACTTCTATATTAAAAAACTTTTAAAAGCTTCAAGACTTTTCAATAGCAAATAAAACAAAATATTTAATCAACATAATTGAACCATTGATTATAATTGTAAAAATATTTATAAAGCAATTTTACTTTCAATTTTATTTTTTTATAATTTTTTATTTATTTAGTGGAACTTGCAAAAATTGCCAACTTCCAATCTTAAAAACCATAATATCTATACAAATCAATAAGCGCTAAAGAGTTCAACCAAAAAAGTTGCAAAAACACAAAAGTAGGTTTAAAATCCTAAACTACTTTAGCAATTAGAATCAATTCATTTCTATTATATAGAATTGTACAAAAATAAAAGTAATATAAATTGCACCTCTCTATATACTCAAACATTTTCTACACATGAAAGAATATTATGCATTAAAAAAAATAAGCCATCGTACAAAGAATTAGAAAGAAGCTACTTAGTACTAAAATTCACCTAGTTTTTAACAAAATCAAGAATGCAGATAATTGATACAATATTATTAGCAACTACTATGCATTCTTTAAATCTTTGATTTGATACAAACTAAAGATTAGTGATTCTTTTGTCCTTTGTTTCAATGTCCAACTTGAAATGTGAATAGATATAAAAAAATCTCCCACCTCATATCTTCACATATACCCAATACATCATTTTTCTTCCCAATAAGATCAACAATCATTCTCAAACCTATTTTCAATGTACAAAAACTAAGAAGTCAAATTACTTCTAGTATTGTAGCATACAACTGCTATAGAAAATTATCTACATGACAACGACATAAAATCATTTACCATTGAGTCTATCCTAAGGAAAAGTTGAGTTTAATAGGTGTTTAGTTGTTGTTCTTCTTCCATGCAAGAGCAATGCTTACTACCACAATAGTTGCTTCAAGTGTTCACTAAACCATCAATCAATTGGATCAATGCATGCTATAACCTCAATGCACAAGTTTCTTCATGCACAAGATTATGATTTGAGCTTGCATCATTCTTAATATTATGTATTTGTGCATAATTTTATGATACAATCAACATTAACTTCATTTTGTTACGACTATAAAAACTCAAGTTTTGCTTCACTTTTGATGAAAACAATAATGCATGTAGCAAATCAAAGAGGATTTTTGTTTCCTCTTGTTTATCCCATGTATTTGTCTCTTCTTAAGTTGTTTTACATAATAGATTATGAAAACATATCTTGACACTTTCAAACAAGATTGTACAACTCACACTATAAATCTGTTTTATAGAAAATTATACAAAAGAATTATAATTCATAGGTCTCATTATTAAGGTTTAATAGATGTATGTGTATATGTATGTATGTATGTATGTATGTATGGATAAGCATATTATTTAGCAACTTAATTTAGTAAATTGTTTGAATTATTGTCAATGATACTAACAAAAACCTATTTTGTGTAGAATATGCTCATGACACATTTACTTGAGATTTAATAAGTTCTCATAACTATTATTTAATATAAAAGACATACCAAAAATTTAAAATTACACTTCAAGAAAAAAAAATGGTCTTAGTGCACACACACTTCTTAGCTTAGTAAAGGCTATAAGCATAGATGATAAATTTTGGTACAATTTTACAAATTACAAAAACAACCAAACAATATCTTGTAATTTTGCATATCATTAAGGAATATGAACTTCCAAAAAGTTTGCTATGACTAAACAGAAATTCCACAAAAGTGAATATTTATGAAAAAATACACAATCAGTTTCATATATTAAAATACATTGTAATATAATTTGAAGAGTTTTTTCACACAGAAAGGTGGAATGTGATGCAGAATTTTCATTAATGTGCAATTAAAAACACTAAATCTGTTCATAAGAAATTTTAAAAAGATTCAAAATGAAAACCAATTCAAACATGTCTTAAATATGATTATTAAAAAGTTATACAACAAAGTTGCGGTAAAATAAAACAATGCTATGACTAAATTTAAAAAGTACACAAAACAACATGCCTCAAATAATTCATTCTAAACATCCAATATCTGTAAGAATAACCTCCATCCACACCAACAATGCTACCAAGCAGAAAGCAAAAGATATCAAGAAATAAAAGGTGTATTCTACCAGAGATATGTCTAGAATCATCTTGATATCAAAACTAGCCGTAACTTTCAAAATAAGAAACATTAGCTACCTATTAAAAGGTGAAGAAAAGATCAATGACTAATGAACCAATGTGCACATTCAAAATTACATTTATAAACACCAAAAACATTCCCATATATTTACTTACAGCCAGAAGGGTCGGGTCTGACTGGGCGCCACGCAGCGAGCGAACGTCCCAGTTCCGGACTCCATTCGTTGTCTTGTTTGTGTGTGGCTTCGTGCAGTGCAGATCTGGGGTTTTTTCCGCGAGACCCGGATAATTGGTCGATTGTTGTACTTGATTTCGGCTCCCACTTGCGGGTTCGGAACTCAACCTCCTGTTGAAGGGAGCCTCTGGTGGGAGAGGCCAAAGAAGGGCGGGTGCAGATCGCGTCGGAGGTGGTGTGCCTAATTATTTTTCGTTATTTATTGTTAGACGATGGAATTCGCGGTCGTAGATGGCAAAAGCGTCTTTGGGGTCAAGGATTTGCCGTTTTTAGCCGAGGGAAGGCATTCTGTCGGTGTAATGCGGAAATCGCGGAAGCAGGGGTTTAATAGGGTGGTCTTGACCTAACATGTGCCATGAGGTCGGTGGGAGAGGAGGCTTAGGTGTTGGAGGCCTCGTCCTTGAATCCGTTGCTCCGTTGTTCCATTTGTGGTGCGAGGAGTGTCGCCAGAGCGGAGCCTGTCACGAGCTCTGTGGTGGGGGCTTAAATTTGGGGTTCCGGCACCTGGCGCGTCCGCCCGAGAGTTTGAAAGTTGGTGAGGATACATTGTGAGCTTCCGGTCCGATGTTCGTTTTTGGTCCCAGAGCCGAGAGGGTCAAAAGCAAATTGTTGAGGGTGCGATGATGTCGTGGTAGTGCGAGATCCTTGGGAGGAGAGAGCTCGACCACAGGAGCCAGGGCGTGCGCATCACCTGTAGAAGACGGGGCAGACCATCGCAGCATTCGACCGAATCTCGCCTTTGAGCTTGGGTGACAGTTGCAGCAGGACGAAATGCCGGTGGTTCTGGGCGATTTGAGAGGGTTTGCAAGCACGCGAGAGTGATGCTCTGGAGTCGATCGAGGGACAGACATGGCACCTGTGCTGCCATACTCCAACAAAGACACAAAGTACGACAACGCTAAGTTTCGGAGGCGCACTCGTCTGAGGGTAAGCTCTGACATTCTCACCGCTGCTTGCTTGACTGGAAACTACTTGCTGCAGGCAGCCACTATCGGCAGGTTTTTGTGGCTGTGTAGGAGTGCGCCGCAAGCTTGCGAGAGAGTGTAGACGTTTGCGTTTTGAAAGGAATGCAGATTTGTAGATCTGAGAAGCAGTTCCCGGATGTTGGATCTGCGATGGAAAGTGACGAATCTTTTGCGGAGAGGTGCTTGTTAGGTCAGTGGGCAGAAGGATCGCATGTGGTTCTGAATTGTGTGGTATGGGTGCGAGGTGCAGCCCAGCTAACTGTTGGCTTGTTTCGCGTGGGTGTAGAGGTTTGTGCAAGCTATACGTAACAGCAATGTGAAGAAGCAATGTGGATCCTGCGGGATTGGGCAGTTACTATTGCTACTTTTGATTACGGGTCTCATGTACCTTGCAGTCACACATTCCAAACACTCCGCTGCAAGTCACGGGAAGAAGGTCGGGAAAAGGTTCGAAGGCACTGAAACGTTGTCACAGCTATGGAATAGAAAGGGAGCACCAAAGGTCAGCAGCCCAGGGAAGGTGGCTCACGGCGGCGGTATCAGTGTGAGTGGATTCAACGTCGATGCGAAGAATGCTTGCGTTGATCTGGAAGACGAGAAAGTAGGTCCAAGTCGAAGTTCTTTTGTCCGTGATGTTTGAGTAGACAGTTTGCATAACCGCAGTTTTGCGTGCCGCCGGATTTTGTTGTCGCAGACTACTGAGGACACTGCACTGTGGAAGCAACGGCAAGCAGAGGTTGCGGGAGCTTTTGTGCATGCCTGGAAGGGGTACACAAGCTACGCACAGGGCTATGACGAATTGCAGCCGGTCAGGAAAGCAGGGGTGGACGACTTGGGCGGGCTCGGTGTCACTGTGATAGATGCTCTGGACACTGCCATGATAATGGGGTTGAAAGATGTCGTTCGGGATGCTGGGTCCTGGATACAGAAAGAGCTGATGGGGAGAATTGCGGCCAGGGGACAGGTGATTTATTTACCTCCAGCATGGTCTTCGGCGCTGTAGTGTTATGGTGTCGCGTAGGTGGGCAACCCGAAGGAGGTGCCGCGATGGTTGTTTGATGCCTGCGTGGTGTGTGGTCTGGATGTGCAGGTGAATTTGTTCGAGACAACTATTCGTGTTTTAGGCGGCCTTCTTAGCGCTTACCATCTGAGAGGAGGAGGCGCGAGCAAAGGTTGGGGGGCAGCGGGGAAGGCTCACATCGTGGGGCCGGATCCGGAGGTGTACCTGGACTGTGCGAAGGATCTAGGCGATCGCTTGATGTCTGCCTTCACCAACAGCAAGTCGGCCGTTCCTTACAGTGACGTTTTTCTGAAGGAAAGGACTGCACGCCGCGCGGGCGATTTCAGCGGCGCTGCGAGCACAGCTGAAGCAACTTCTGTTCAGCTGGAGTTTTCTTATCTTAGCCACGTGACGGGAGATTCGAAGTATGAGAAAGCAGCGATGGCCGTGTACGAGCACATCAATAGGCTTCCAAAGACGGAGGGTTTGGTTCCTATTTTCATAAGGTAAGTCCTTACTGGCGTCTTACACCGCTGCTCTGAGCGCAAGTGGGCAGCAGGATTGGCGCGTATTAGACAGGCTTGCAGGCGGTGGTTGAATGCATGGGCGAACTCGGAGGTTGGCTTGCTGACGAGGGTTAGTGCACAATGTTGCAGTCCGGATACAGGGAACTTTGAAGGACACAACATAAGGCTGGGATCTCGCGGGGACAGCTATTACGAGTACCTGCTGAAGGTCTGGATACAGCATGGCGGCGCCGCTCACAATGAATCAAGCGTGGCTTATCTGAGAGAGATGTACGAGGAGGCGATGGGAGGGGTGCGGCACAAGCTGGTCGCCAAGTCCGAACCGAATGGTTTGGTTTTTGTGGGAGAGCTACCAAATGGTGCCGGCTCTGCTTTGCACCCAAAGATGGATCATCTGGTAGGATTCAGGAGCTCTTGTTTGCTTGGTTGCGCGTACTATTTTGCGGGTTGTTCTGAGTCGATACTCTTATAACTGCACTTCCGGGCTGCTTGTCTCCTTGCCTCGCCCCGAGAAGGGCTTCTTGTTCATTGTGCGCAATTCCGAAACAGGGTGCAGATCTGGTTAGATTTGGCAATTTGAGAGTTTTTGAAGTGGTGGTTGTGTGCGCTGCGGTGAGAATGTTTTGCAGGTTTGCTTCTTAGCAGGGAACCTCGCACTGGGTGCAACTAGAGGTCGTACCTTGAAGGACGCAATGTCGGAGGGTAATGCACGCATCTGTTTGAACCAGGAGTGGTTTTTCTTTTCAGGATTGTGTTTATTCTTTTTCTTTTTGTTTCTTTGTTGGAATACAGATTGTTGTGAAAAGCGGTTCGCGTTGTCTTGTGTATTTTTGTTGGTTTTTCTTTGTGCGCGTAAAGTTGGAGGCTCGCAATTTTGATTTGTTTGGGGCGTATCTGTATCGCGATTGTTATATCCGGCACTGATAGTTTGAGACATGGTGTGTTTGCCCAGGTGTGTTGAGTGAGAGTGACCTGGCAGATCTGAAGCTGGCGGAGGAATTGGGAAAGACTTGCTATGAGATGTATAACGTCACCGCCACAGGACTTGCTCCAGAGATTGCTTACTTCAACATATATGTAGGTTCTTTCGACTCATCCTTGAGAGCGCTCTTCATTTGGGAGTGTTCAGGATTTTGGGTCTTACCGCGTGCGTCGTGTTTAGTGAGAGGAGCATCTGAACATAGGAGGGGACAACTTTGTGCAGGGAGAAAACCATGAAGTAGAAGGAGGGAGGGACGACTCGTTTTACAAGCACGACATTCGCATCAAGCGTGCAGATCGCCACAATCTTCTACGCCCAGAGACTGTGGAGTCTCTGTTTCTGCTTTATCGGATTACCGAGAATCCCATGTAAGCACACGTGCAGCGGCTGTTTGTGTTGCTGTTGTCGTGGACGATGGGAGTCGTTTCAGTGGTGTCGTGTGGGGGTTACGCGCTGATAGTGGGTTGGGATGCAATGATGCGAAGGTTGCGGGATTTGTACCTGGCACGCGTTCAAGCTTTTGATTGCGCATCGTTCGGTGTATTTACTGTGGCCTCTGTTTGCAGGTACCGGGAGTGGGGGTGGAAGATTTTCCAAGCGTTTGAGGCTCACACGAAGGTGAGCAGTGGGGGCTATTCATCTCTCGACGACGTGACGAGCGTTCCAGCTCCCAAGAGGGACAAGATGGAGACGTTTTTCGTGGGAGAGACTCTGAAGTATCTGTACCTGCTGTTCGGCGATTCGAACGTGCTGCCGTTGACTGAATTTGTGTTCAACACCGAGGCTCATCCACTGCCTATTCGAAGTAAGAAGGCTGCTATGATAGAGTCCGTTGCCAAGAGTGTTGGAGATGTTTCTACAGACCAACAGGCGGATGTTTCTACACACAAGCATGGAGGCAAGAAGAGGCACTCAAAGAAGAAGGCTGCGGAGGAGGAGGCAGATGGGGCCACGATCAGGGATATTCTGATGAAGTAGGCTTGTGTGTTTTTTGGTAGCAGTGGTAGATTTGGTAAGTAGTTGGGGGACCCACCACCTCGAAGGCCGCGCCAAGGCTGCGGCTTTGCTCATGGGTGCGGGGACGAAAGCACAGTACGGTGATGGCGTTCGAGGTCGAGTGGATCACGTTGAGGTCTGGCTGGGTCCTCGCAATGAGGCGGATCCTCCTTGGCGTATTAGCCATTCCAACATCATTTTGATTCTATTAACACTGGCTCCTGATTTGGTGATGATCGAGATGAATGGTGTTTGCGAGTAGTAACGTGGAAACGATCTTGGCTGTTTCGTTTGAACGCTTCGTTTGAAGTACGGTAAGAAGGAGTAGAGCGGGGTGAGGTTGATGTCGAGATTTTGTGGTGGGTTGAGGGATTGTGGTACGAAAGGAAGAGACACATGCAAGTTGGACGTATTCGTGGCTGCCCGGGTTCGTTTTGGTCTGGGATGCCATGACATGCATAGAAAGTAGCGTTGACGAGCATGAAGTGAATGTGGGCGAAGCAGCCATTGGGATCACAAGAGAAGGTAGAGTGCGGTGGCATTTTGGTGGAGGGGGCGGAGGGGATAGTTTTGTGATACGGAAAGTAGCAGTTTGAATAAGATTCTGGGACTGTGCTGTCGAGTGTGTGGGCATGAATAGAGGGAGATGGGGATCGTGTTGGAGGGAGGTGTTTGTAAGTGTGGGCGGGGTTTTGAACGGAGGCATGCTGGGAGAAGTGGAAGCTGTCATAGACCGGAGGAAATCGGGTAGATGACAGAAGAGTAAGATGTTGATGAAAGATTGTGATGATGATCGTCGTCTTGCTTGTCGAGAAATGAGCGGGGTGTGGATAACTGGAATGGGCAAGTTGAGTATGAAGCAAAGAGAGAAGCGAATTGGAAGCGTATGTAGTTTTCATCGAGGAAGTCGGTCTCATAATCCATATTGGTCGTTTCATCGTTTTTTTCTTTCAGTGTAGTCATCTTTTATGCTCGATTGTTTGGAAATTATGTGAGGCACTATTAATTTTTATTGAAATATTTGTAATTGTCGTACTTACTACAGTCGTGTTAGGAATGGTCTTTATTATGTGTTTAAATTTCTTGGCATTGTGGATGGAATAATCATTTTTCACATCGACCACTTAATGGCTTGATTACGGAAGTTTTTGTGTTGTTTTAGTGAGGAAGAGTTTTTGTGAGATGTACCTGATATACTTTGGGTTACAATTTTAGCTCTCGTGATTATAAATTGTCTTTAAGTACAATATATTGTATTAACTAGAAATCTAATATTTTAAGATTTTAGTTTTAATTTCGTTTTGGTTGTTTCCTTTATTCTTTTATTTAGATTTTTAACTTTTAACAGTACCTTGTGATAGACATGTGAAGTTTTATGAGATTGTGTCATATTTTATTTGACTATCAGAACTATTAGTAGATTGTTGTTATGAAGTCATTTTATAAATTAGTTTTGAAGGCCTCAACCAATGTTAATTTTATAAGATATTTTCATTAATATTGAATTATTGTGGCTGTTGTAGTTGATTAAGTAGTTATGTAAATTTGTTTTGAAGTTGTTAAAATATATGTATACTACAAGGAGGTTTTAGTCATACTTGTAAGTTTTCAGAAATAGATAGGTATGAAGTATTGATGTGCTTTGTATAATTTGTTGTTAGTAGTAGTGAGGCTGTGGGTGTACAACTAGTTTTGGTTTTAAATACCTTTTAAAATCTTCTAGATATATTTACGACTTTGTTGGGGTTTTTAGGAATCTTGATTTTTTTTTAAAACCTTTTAAAATATATTGAAATCTTTTAGATTCTTTCATAACCACTTAAAATACTCTACATTTGTTTACAATTGAGTATAGATAATTCTATAAACTCGTAGGATTTTTTTTATTCTTAAAATCTCTCATTGAAGGTTTTCTTCAATTTACCTTGCTGTGGTACACATAATGTGTAATAACATGAGCCATATTATCCTTCCTAGCATAAATTTGAAGTCATTCAAGTGTTGTCTAATTTCTAGTTCAATATATAGTTTTGTTTATAATTCAATATTTTAGTTAATTTTTACTTCTTAATATATTCTTACATAATATTTACATATTTGAAATCAAGTTACAATTATATTTTATTCTACAAACAATAATGCTTAAAATCTAATATGATATATTTGTAAGTATAGATTTTGTACTCTAATTATTTAGAGAGAATTTGATATCAAAGTCATGTATGAAGAATTCAAACTATGTGAGCTTTAATTATAATCATTTTAAAATTATTATATCTTTTGTAACAATTATTAGAAAGAAAATACAGACTAATTAAAAAACATCAACTATGCTTGTTTAACTTTTTTATTTTATGATTCTTTATATAATAAAGCCACAAGAAAAATGTGGTATTTTAATTAAAATCTATTTATAAATTTTAAAAATTAGAAGAGTTTGAATATCTTAAAATATTTTCTAATTTTTTCAATCATTTTCTTTAAAATTATTTTTTGATTTCCTATTCCATATATTGAATAGTTATAAATAATTTGTATTGAAAAAAAAATCTTATATCAAAATATTAAAAAATATGACATACCATATTAACTTTAGTGCTTATAAATATTAAATATTTAACACTTTTCTAAGAGTTTTATTCAAATCATTTATAACAACATATCATAAATTAATGTACAAACATACCTTGAATTCTTACATAATATATCTTTTTATTATACTACATAATATGATTTACTTTAAACTTGAATTTAAAAATATAAATTAAAATTACTAAACATATGTTAATAATAACCATAATTAATATAAAAAGATGTTTGTTGTATACAAGAATGTATTTTGTTATTATAAGTAAAATTTTCCAACAACAAAAGAGTTGTCCAACCATCTTGATGATAGTTGACTAGATATATCTTAAATACTACTTCAAAACTTAATTCATCTATTATTGTGTAGTAAAATATTTATATGATGAAAGATAAAAATATGGATTTTATTATAAAAGAGCCTAGTTGAAAGATATATTAGCCAAACATGGATAAAAAATAGATAGGTAATAAAAATATTTAATAATAATAATAATTTATTATTATTAATTTTTTCTTATAAGACTATAAATTTAGTAAAAATAAATAAATTAAATAATAATATAAATATCTTTAAAATAAATTTAAGAATAGAATATAATAGAAATTATTTTTAGAAACCAAGAATTAATATCCAAAGAAAATTGGTTGTGAATTAAGATAAAAATCAAATCCTAAGGCATAAAATCACATATCTATGGCAATTTTGAGGTTCTTTGATTGATTGGAGAGTGGAGTTTGATAGCAAACTAGAATGAGGCTCTTTAGATATTTATTTTAGGTGATTTGAGATGATATTATCTTTGTGAAGGCTTTGCAAAGTCAAGATTGTTTTATTGTGACTTTAGATTTTGAAAAATATAAAGAGCATATACTTTGATTTTTTTTGTAAGATTGATAGATAATCTATAAGTATAATTTTTTAATTAAGTATTTATTGTTGTTTTAAATATTTATTATAAATTTGAGATTAATTGAATAGTTCATATGAAGGTTATTGGAATTCAAAGTATTAAAGTTTCAAGAATTAGAGTTCAAAGGATCAGTGAGGATTTTAAAGATTTGCAGCAATCTGCTATATGGATTAAAATAAAATTTTGCATATTAATATCAGACTTAATTTTTAATATTTATGCAAAACTTAAGAGCCATTGGATAGTGAAATCAAGAAATATTGGCCTTGAGAGATTGGCATTAATGTTACTTAAGGAGGCTTACTAATACCTAAGCTGATTAAAAGGTTTATTATCTATTTGGTAAGTTTTATCTTTTTTTAAAAAAATACTTTTTTTAATTAAATAATTAAAAAGTCTAAAAATTTTGAGTTAAAATGAATAATTAATTTATTAATTATTAATATTTTAATCCGATGTAGGATTAATTGAGGCTTTATTTAAGATTTAAGATTTGATTAGAATTTGAATAAGATTAGTTAAGATTTTTAAGATCTCATTAGGATCTCATTAAGATTTGGTTAGAATTTACTAAGTATTTGTTGAGGATTTATTTAAGACAATTTGAGGCTTTGATTATGATTCATTTAGAATTTATTGATTTTTTTTTATTATTAATATTTTAAAACATTTCTTTATTATTTCTTTAGATTTTTTATTTATATTATGCCTTGATAATTGTTTTTTAGGAATATTTTTTAAATATTTTTTATTAATTTCTTTATGTTCTTTTTATAACTTCTTTAAAATTACTTTTAAATTTGATTAAAATTTTATTAGAATTATTAAGGTTTAATTAAAATTTATTTAAGATTCTTTTAGAATTTTTAGGATTTTTTTTCTCGCAATTTCTAATTTTCTTTTAAGCAAAATATTTGGTGCATTCTTAAGCAAGTCTTCACATAATACAACATTATTTTGTTTGTCCATCATTTTAAAAATAAAAAGCCAAAGATAGTGTTTTGTCTACCATCAATACTTTGAAAAGTGTTCTTCAAAACCTTCATACAAATTGAATCCCATTATCTAATATAATACTCATTAGCAATCCATAGTAACAATAAATATTGTAAATAAAAAGTTTAGCAATTTCTTCACAAGTAATAATTTTTATACATTATACAAAATATACCATTGTAGTAAAATAATCTTCTATCATAAATACAAAATCATGTGAATTTAAAATTAAAAGATTTGTGATAAAATTCATAGAAACAAAAGACCATAGATGTTTTGATATAAGTGATGATTGGAGGTGTCTATAGGGTCAATGACAAGGAATTTTTTATCTAGATTAAACATCACATGATTGAACAAAGATTTTAGTTATTTTTTAAATTTAAGGCCAAAAAAAATCTCTAGATATGAATTTTAAGATCTTGTTGTTTTTAAAATATTATATAGCTAAAAAATTGTGATGAGCTCGAAAAGAATATAATCATGCTTCATCTTCTAGAATATGTAAGCATCTCTCAAAATAAAGAAGATTTTTCCTAAAATCAAACTTAGAAGTATCATAAATTAAAAAAGGTTATTTTTAATATCATAAATAAGAAGATTTAGAAACATACTTAATTAAACTTGATTAAAACATATTCTATTAACAATCAATGTTGATTTTACTGCTTCAAGACAATATTGCTTTGGCTTCAAAAGAATAGTTTATTATTGATCAAAATCTACATTTCATTCTTTTGGTGCAA